ACATGTTTGTTCAATGGCGCTTTTATGATTTGAAATAAAAGATTACAAAAGTAAATCAAATGGCTCGGCCCAAAAAGGTAGGTTGGGGGGGGGGGTGTTTTAATTAATTAGAACGATATTGGTATTGAATAATTTTTTTACAAAAAGATTGTCCCTGATTTGTTAAAAAGCTTTTTAAGCTTTTTTACCTTTTTAATAACTATATTTACTTGGCTTGATCGATTTAAAATTGAAGACGATCTCTGACCAAAATCATAGTTTTTAAGGAAACCACGATTCTTTTGATTCATCATCAGTAAACACATCTTCTTGAATGTTCTGTTTATTACATTTTTTTTTTTCCAAGCATCTTTCTCTTTTCTATTTTCTTACAACGAAACAATATACTTCGTTATTAGTTATTAGTTGTTTTGTTGTTTTTGTTGTTTTTTTTTTAAAGAGATTTCTTATTCAAAACAAGTTGATCTAACCACACTGGGGTTTGTACATTCGTCTCCAGCTGTCCGACTGGACATTTTGTCATCCCCGACACGCCGACGCCCCCAGGGGAGGCCCAACCAACGGCATGTTTTAATGGTTTGTTTGTTAACGAGAGAGACATCAGCTGGTTCTCTGACACGATGCTCAGTTTCAGTAATGATGATTGGATCTTTTCAAATATTTGAAACTTTAATTAACTGTTTCTTTTGTAAAAAATGTTTGTGTTGTTGTTTTTTAGGTTTTGTTGTTGTTGTTTTTTTTATTCCATCCGTCGGTCAAAATGTGACGATTCTGTAGACGAAGTCAATAAGGCCTAGGATTATTCTGTTTAGGAATACAAGCTGGTTCCCTACAAAGCAAATCGCCACTCTCCACGCCGCTGAAAAACCCAAGGGGGACATCACGTGGGTGATGCAGCTTGGCACCAGTGGCGTCGCAGGACTTTCAGGAATATTTCATTGTACCAATATTATCCGCCTACAGGACGCCATCTCCGGGTTTGAATTCAGAGTTTTGTCCTTCTCTTAGATGAATTGCCATCCAAGGTTCGCGAAGCCCATCCACCTAGTGGTGCTCATGTTGATTTCCCTTGACTGGGCCTCGGTGGGGATTGAACTCCAGGCCATGAACTTGAGATTGGCTTAGTTTAGACAACTCAGGAGTCGAGTGCTTTATTTTTCTGCTTATAACCTTCATCGTAGTCCAACAAGACTTGAAATCAGTTGAGTCATCTTTAGAATATTTTACCTTTCAAGATCTCGCCTTTAACAATAAAAATCGCAATCCAAAGGATATTGTCAAACTGCCCATATTTGAAGGGTAAAGAATATCACTCTCCCAAAGATATTGTCAAACTCCATACATTTGATTGGTTAAGAAATGACATTCACAAGTCCATTGTCAAACTCCAGATAATTTATTGGTCAAGTGAATCGCCTCTCCCAAAGACATCAAATTTGTTATGAATATCACCTTTTCTAAAGACATCAATATTGTTCAAAATATCCCCTCTCTTAACGACACCACATTTGTAAAGATTATCTCACTCCAAAAAACATCACATTTGTTTAAAATATCACTCTCCCAAAGTATTAACATTTATTACGAGTCGCGCCTTTCCCCAAGAAAAAAATCAAAAATGTTGCAAATACCATACTCCGAAGAGCATCACACATTCACAAATATAGTTATAATCCATTCGTTACTCAAGACCCATGTTTATGGCAGATTCGTAGTGAGAGAGTTTGGCGCCCGGGGACAAGATTCTTTTAAAGCGCCCCTTTTCTTTTTTTCAACCCTCAAACCTATTATTTTCTTGAATGAAATAATATCAAAGCACATTTTGGCGCCCCTAACTAGTTGGCATCCGGGGACATCTGTCCCCCCTGCCCTCTTTGCTACGCCATTGGTTCATGCCCCCCCCCCACTACTCCCATGAACCAACTAGTTCAGAAGTGATAGAGCTTCCACAGCTATGCAAAATGATGTAAACAGCTGCCCTTCACATTCTAGAACGAAATATTCACCAGTTCACGTCTTTTTGTCGTTTCAGGTCGTAAAGATGATGATCATCGTCGTCTGCCTGTTCGTCCTCTGCTGGCTGCCGCTCCAGATGTACAACCTGTTGCACAACATCAACCCGCTCATCAACCAGTAAGTTCCTTTTGTCTGTCTGCATTTGTGTTTGTTTTTGAGTTGTTTTTTTTTTTGGTGTGTTTTCGTGTGTCTCGAGTGTGTCCCGGAGTGTGTCCCGAGGGCGTCCCGAGGGTGTCCCGAGGGTGTCCCGAGGGTGTCCCGAGGGTGTCCCGAGTGTGGATGGTCCAGCTGCATCCACGTGTTTGTTTGTTTTTTTTGGTCTGTTTATCTCAAGATAACCATGTCCTTTTAAAGACGTTCTTTCCACTTGGATTTCCATCTTATGGATGGAGTGTAATTTCGCTGTTTACGCACGTGACATTTTCGCTCAGTTGATCGTTTTCTGGTGAACTGATCACCAAACACACATATCCTTGTGATTTCTGAGATTATTCTCTTAAGATCCTGGCTAGTGCATTGGCTACCAGCTCCATCCGCTGAGCCACACAACAATTTCCACACGTAAACGTATTGATCGTCTCGCTGCAACTGAGTTGTGTCAAAATCGTGTCTACCTGGTCCAGTGTAGGGTGAGAAGGCGCGCTCATACAAGAGCTGTTGGATTTGGGGTATTTAAAAAAATATATATACTCCTATGGAGCTAATTTAAAGATTAAAATTTTAAGACTAAAAATTAGCAAATAAATTATCTTTTTATAAACTTTTTTTAAAGAATCTCTGACAAGCAAGAGTTAAAACGCACTAAAAAGTAGAAAATAATTCAATCGTCTTAAATGAATTACGCAAAGTCTGTCTGAAATATGTTTTCGTAAATTAATATGTAACGTCTACTTAAATTGGAACCCATCGGCTACATAAAATGCTACACAGTGTGCTACATAGAGTGCTACATACAGTGCTACACAGAGTGCTAAACGGAGCGCTACACAGGGTGCTACATAACATGCTAATCCACACTTCTGCGCAGTATTTTTATTATTATCATTATTTTTTCTTTAAGCTCAGGGAATTTAAATAAATATTTTAAAAAAGAAAGTACCTTTAGTATTTCTGATTATGTTTAGGTAATCAGTGTGAAATACCGCTACTGTATGTTTCTTTTAATTTGTTTGTATTCTAAGAGCATTTGTGCTTTAATTGCATTTCATTTATCTATCTATCTATCTATCTATCTATCTATCTATCTATCTATCTATCTATCTATCTATCTATCTATCTATCTATCTATCTATCTATCTATCTATCTATCTATCTATCTATCTATCTATCTATCTATCTATCTATCTATCTATCTATCTATCTATATATCTATCTATCTATCTATCTATCTATCTATCTATCTATCTATCTATCTATCTATCTATCTATCTATCTCTATCTATTTAATATATTTTTCTTTCTCTATCTTTCTCTCTATCTCTCTTCCTCTCTCTCTCTATCTCTCTCTATTTCTCTCTAACTCTCTCGCTACATCCCTCTCTCTATTTCTCTCTAACTCTCTCTCTATCTCTCTCTTTAACTCTTCCTAGCTCTCTCTCCATCTCACTCTATCTCACTCTATCTCTCTATCTCTCTATCTCTATCTCTCTATCTCTCTAACTCTCTATCTCTCTATCTCTATCTCTCTATCTCTATCTCTATATCTCTATCTCTATCTCTCTATCTTTATCTCTCTATATCTCTATCTATCTCTATCTATCTCTATCTATCTTTATCTATCTCTATCTATATCTATCTACATCTATCTCTATCTACATCTAAATCTAACTACATATATCTACATCTATCTACATCTATCTAATCTATCCTCTATCATCTATCTATCATCTATCTATCATCTATCTATCATCTATCTATCATCTATCTATCATCTATCTATCATCTATCTATCATCTATCTAGCATCTATCTAGCATCTATCTATCATCTATCTATCATCTATCTATCATCTATCTATCATCTATCTATCATCTATCTATCATCTATCTATCATACATACCTAACTACCTACATACCTAACTACCTACATACCTACCTACCTAAATACCTAACTACAAACCTACCTACGTACCTACATACATACCTATATACATACCTACGTCTATACTCAGCTACATCTATACATAGCTACATCTATACAAAACTACATCTACACATACCTACATCTATACATATAAACATCTATTCATATATACATCTATATATATCTATCTATATATATATATATATATATATATATATATATATATCTATATCTATATATATATATATAGATATAGATCTACATATACCTATATATATCTATATGTATCTATAAATCTATATGTATCGATGTATCTATTTATGTCTCTATCTATCTATATATGTATCTTATTATGTATCTATCAATCTATATATAACCTGAGATAGTTCCGCTCGTATCTGACAAATTGGTTCCAATCAGTTATCGCAAACGGCTTGACCTGGAATCAATCTATTATTATATTCGGAGTGCCCTTAGGGCTCGGTCCTAGGTCCGATGCTTTTCACTATGTCCGTTCGGCCCCTGGGTGCAGTGATCAAGCAATTTGATTGGCTCTATCACATTTTCGCGGATGATACCCAACTTCAGCAATCCGTGATCCCCTCTCAGTTCCCTCAGCTTCTTAGTATGACACAGAAGACAGTGGAGTCAGTTAAGCACTGGATGAACATAAACTAGCTCAAATTGAACGATGAAAAGACCGAGCTGTTCCCATTGCTTCCGTTCAAGAGCTAAAATCTGTAAATAACACGCCACCCCCTTCTCTCTCAGTATACAGATTGAATTTGCTCAAACAGTGTGAAACCTGGGTGTCTTCTTAGAGAGAACACTTACTATGGAAAATCCCATTAACATGATTCGCAAGGCGATTTTTCTACAGCTGCGCTGAATTAGTCTTATCAGACCTTTCTTAACGTTTGATGCAACAAAGAGGCTGATGTCTTCATTCGTGCTATCGCGTATGGACTACTGCAATGCTCTCATGGTGGGTCTTCCAGCTACGCTCCTGGATAAAGTTCAAAAGGTACAGAATAATGCGGCAAACTCTCGATACCACGTGTTCGCCTTGAGACTTACGGAAGGCGCACGTTCGCATTTGCTGGCCCAACAATTTGGAACACCCTTCTTGTCGCTCTCAGAAGCAGCCAGACTTAGGAGTCTTTCAAAACCGATTTGAAAACATATCTTTTTCGCAAACACCTGTTGGGGTGAATTTGTCTTCCATCTTTTCCAGCTAACTATTATCTCCTAGATGTAAAGAGGCCTGTGTTGTTTATGGCTGCAAGGGATGAAAGACTTAGAATGGGTATTCTCGTATGAATTTTATGTAATGTTGCGTTTAATATTTCAATGTGCAAAATATAGATTTTTTAAATTTCTTTTTTAATATGGATGACTTTGTACCGCGCTTCAAGCCTTTGTGGATAAAGCATGATTTTCAAATAAGCTTTATTATTATTATTATTAAATATATCTATATCTATTTCTATCTATCTATAGATATAGATATATATATATATATATATATATATATATATATATATTTTTGTATATATCTCTTTCTTTTTTTTCCTCTCTTTCTCTCTCTCTCTCTCTCTCCCACTCTCTCTCTCTCACTCTCTTTATTAAAATATATATATATATCTATATCTATCTATATATATATATATATATATATATATATATATATATATATATATATATATCACTGTCTATATCTCATTTTTTCTTATCCTCTCTCTTTCTCGCTCTCTCACTCTCCCAAACTCTGTCTCCCACTTTCTCTCTCCTCTCTTTTTCTCTCTCTCCTCTCTTTTTCTCTCTCTCTCTCCTCTCTCTCTCCCTCTCTCCCTCCCTCCCTTCCCCTCCCACCCTCCCTCGCTCTGTACATAAACTGATTGTACAATTCAGCTGACTAAATAGATCCCTATTTACTAGCGAAGACCTTATCACCCACGATAAACCGGGCCTCCTACTCGCCTTGACCAAAACTTTCATTCGGGCTCAAAATAGTTTTTATGTAGTCTAGCTAAGAATTCAAATTTCAACTGGAGCAAATTTTAATCTGACAAGAACTTTAAAAAAAAAAAAATTTAATGACACACACATTTTTTGCTTAAATAAAACAATCTCTCACACTCTACTTATATTGATACAATATACAGTATTCTCACCTTTCGGCCAAATGCCTTCATCGGTTAAACGTAGAACATTGACATAAGTATAAATTAAATTTACTTTCAATATTTATATTCTACCTATAAATAAAAAAAAAAAAAAAAAAAAAAAAAAAAAAAGAAAAGAATATACGGGCACAAAACCTAAACGAAATCAACGAACAGAAGAAGGGAGAGAAGGTGTGTGGAAGAACAATTAAAAAAAAAAAAAACATAAAAAAGACATTTGCTGATATTTAAAATTGTGAATTGGGTACAACACGTATATGGTTTATGAAAAAAAAAATAATAATTTTGCATTTGAAAGAAAACTGTCTGGTCCTTTGGAAAATCAATGCGGGGAGACTTGTATTTGCATGTGAAGTGCACTGAATGTGATGTTCATTTTATGATAATTTATGTTCATCGTTATACCATCGTGTCTGTCTGGTCCCGGGGATAGTCTCTTGTCCCGGTGGTAGTCTCTGGTCCCGGTGGTAGTCTCTGTTTCCGGGGTAGTCTCTGGTCCCGAGTGTAGTCTCTGGTCCCGGTGAAAATCTGTGGTCCCGGTGATAGTCTCTGGTCCTGAGGGTAGTCTCTGGTCCCGGGGGTAATCTCTGGTCCCGGGAGTAGTCTCTGGTCCGGGGGGGGGGGTAGTCTCTCGATCGGAAGGGCNCTGTGGTCCCGGGGGTAGTCTCTGGTCCCGGGGGGGGGGTAGTCTCTGGTCCCGGTGGTAGTCCCATTGAGTGCAAACGTTTCAATGGTCATCCAAAGTGTATTCTATCTTTGAATCTACCAATGCAGGAGTAAGTATGTGTATGGGATAACTTGGGTGTCCCTTACTTTTATGTGACACTTAAACACCCGAAATTTTTCTGAAAGTTAATGCGCCCGTCGTTCTTAAGGGATAGTGCATGAACCTTTTTTAAGTTCCACCATGGCATGTTCAATAAACGCATTCATCTGCCATCGTTCCGACAATAAATTTAATTAAAACAAAGTCCGTGCAATGTCGAGCTGATCTGTTGGACAAGTGCAGAGAATTTCCCTGGAGACATGTCAACAATGACCTGACAGTAACACAACACGGTCTTAAAACCCGAAGGGTAAAATTTCCAACTTAAAATAACCCAGAAAAAGATATTTAAAAGTCAACAACGCTCGTCCACTGGCAGATCCCGTTATGAAAAAAAAAATGCCTAGAGACACGAAAGTAAGTAGACAGAGCACAGAGATGTGTACAAACAACAAGTCTTGCGTCAGAACACTGAGATGTGTAAATACACAAAAGTATGTTTCACAGAACACAGACATGTGTAGAAACACGAAGTGTATTGACAGAATACAAAGATGTGTAAAAACACGAAGTATGTTGACAGAATACAAAGATGTGTAAAAACACGAAGTATGTTGACAGAATACAAAGATGTGTAAAAACACGAAGTATGTTGACAGAATACAAAGATGTGTAAAAACACGAAGTATGTTGACAGAATACAAAGATGTGTAAAAACACGAAGTATGGAGACAGAATACAAAGATGTGTAAAAACATGAAGTATGTAGACAGAATACAAAGATGTGTAGAAACACGAAGTATGTTGACAGAATACAAAGATGTGTAGAAACACGAAGTATGTTGACAGAATACAAAGATGTGTAAAAACACGAAGTATGTTGACAGAATACAAAGATGTGTAAAAACACGAAGTATGTAGACAGAATACAAAGATGTGTAAAAACACGAAGTATGTTGACAGAATACGAAGATGTGTAAAAACACGAAGTATGTTGACAGAATACAAAGATGTGTAAAAACACGAAGTATGTTGACAGAATACAAAGATGTGTAAAAACACGAAGTATGTTGACAGGATACAAAAATGTTTAGAAACACGAACTATGTTGACAGAATACAAAGATGTTTAAAAACACGAAGTATGTAGACAGAATACAAAGATGTGTAAAAACATGAAGTATGTAGACAGAGTAAAAAGATGTGTAAAAACACGAAGTATGTTGACAGAATACAAAGATGTGTAAAAACATGAAGTATGTAGACAGAATACAAAGATGTGTAAAAACACGAAGTATGTTGACAGAATACAAAGATGTGTAAAAACACGAAGTATGTAGACAGAATACAAAGATGTGTAAAAACACGAAGTATGTAGACAGAATACAAAGATGTGTAAAAACACGAAGTATGTAGACAGAATACAAAGATGTGTAAAAACACGAAGTATGTAGACAGAATACAAAGATGTGTAAAAACACGAAGTATGTAGACAGAATACAAAGATGTTTAAAAACACGAAGTATGTAGACAGAATACAAAGATGTGTAAAAACATGAAGTATGTAGACAGAATACAAAGATGTGTAAAAACACGAAGTATGTAGACAGAATACAAAGATGTGTAAAAACACGAAGTATGTTGACAGAATACAAAGATGTGTAAAAACACGAAGTATGTTGACAGGAGAGAGAGAGAGAGATGTGTAAAAACCTAAAGTATGGTGTCACAATAGAGAGTTGTATATTTTGTTGTTTCCCCATTGTTTTTAGTAAGGATGATACATTTTCCAAATGTTCAATTTTTTTTAGTAATCCACGATGTCACTAACAGAAAATTTGGGTTGAACTGAATTTTTTTTTTTCATTTTACCGCCCCTTCCCTAATTTAATTTGGTTTTGAATTCGCCTTTTAATTAATTTCCAAGTGATGTATAGTTCAAAATATGTGAACAAAAATATTAAAAAAGCCGATTCATTAAATGCAGATCAGTAAGGTATAGGTTTTTGTTAAGGTAAACAAATGTAATCAGGATTTTTAAAGACAACACGCGCATTGATTTATGTGGTGCAGGTAAAAGAAGGTCGGGATCATTTAGTGCATTCATGTTGTCATTTTAAGTTATATTACAGAACATAAAACATAACATATTACATAACATAGTTTGTGGTTTGTTTTACTTACACTCTGGATAAATCACTTCAATACCTTAACCAACTCTGGTTATATGACTTCACTACCTTACCCAACTCTGGATAAATGTCTTCAATACCTTTCACAACTCGGGTATATGACTTCATATCTTACCCAACTCTGGAAAATAATTTAAATGCATTACCCTTATCTGGATATATGACTTAAATACACAACGAAAGTCTGGGATATGTATTCAATTACCTTACCCAACTCTGGGATATGACCTCAATACCTTACCCAACTCTGGGATATGACTTCAATACCTTATCTAACTCTGGGATATGACTTTAATACCTAACCAACTCTGGGATATGACTTCAAAACCTTATCTAACTCTGGGATATGACTTTAATACCTAACCCCATTCTGGGATGTGACTTCAATACCGTATCTAACTCTGGGATATGACTTTAATACATAACCAACTCTGGGATAGGACTTCAATACCTTATCTAACTCTGTGATATGACTTTAATACCTAACCCAACTCTGGGATATGACTTCAAAACCTTATCTAACTCTAGGATATGACTTTAATACCTAACCCCATTCTGGGATGTGACTTCAATACTGTATCTAACTCTGGGATATGACTTTAATACATAACCAACTCTGGGATAGGACTTCAATACCTTATCTAACTCTGTGATATGACTTTAATACCTAACCCAAATCTGTGATATAGCTTCAATACCTAACGAAACTTAGGGATATGACTTCAATATCTTTCCCAAATCCGTGATATGACTTAAATACCTTACCCAACTCTGGGATATAACTTTAATACATAATCCAACTCTGTGATTTGACTTCAATACCATACCTAACTGTAGGATATGACTCAATACGTTACCCAACTCTGGGATATTACTTCAATACACTCCCCAACTCTTGGATATGGCTTTAATACTTAACCCAACTCTGGGATATGACTTCAATACCTTATCTATCTCTGAGATATGACTTCACTACCTTACCCAACTCTGGGATATGACTTCAATACCTTGCCCAACTCTGGGATATGTCTTCAATACCTTACCCAACTCTGGGATATGACTTCAATACCTTACCCAACTCTGGGATATGACTTCAATACCTTACCCAACTCTGGGATATGACTTCAATACCTTATCTAACTCTGAGTTATGACTTCAATACCTAACCCAAATCTGTGATATGACTTCAATACCTTACCCAACTCTGGGATATGACTTCAATACCTTAACCCAACTTTGGAAAAATGACTTCAATACCTTACCCAACTCTGGGATATGACTTCAATACCGTACCCAACTCTGGGATGTGACATCAATACCCTACCCAACTCTGGGATATGACTTCAATACCTTATCTAACTCTGGAATATGTCGCTATAACTTGAGCGCATATACTAAACATGAACATTTGCAACTCATGCCAAGGCTTGACACATAAAATGTCCATATTGTTCATATTTTATATATTTTATAATATATTTTTTTTCTAGAACGATATAACGAGAGTCAGTATTATCATGGATCATTGATTGGAATGCTGTGTTTCAAACTTTAAATAAACAAAACTGTATGATATTTGGGCTCACCTTGCAGTAGGATGATTTTACAGTGAAAAATTCGTCAGTGAGACGTGGACAGTGTAAAGCAGACATGCAAGACAACTAAACCACCTCCACCAACGCTTTCTAAGAAAAACTTCTTAGCATAAGGCGGCAGGATCAAGACCTTGTACAGAAGTAATACATAAGCTGACTTCATCAGCATCCAAACGTTCCAAGAAAAATGGACTAAGAGACAAGCCAAGATGAAAAGAGCATATTGCGAGAATGCTAGACGGCAGACTTCCCAAAAAAAACAAATTTTTGGTGGAACTCTCCACAGGGAAACTCTCTGCACTTTGCAGAAAAAAATATTTGAGAAATGACTAAAATGTTTACTTAACTCCATGGATATTTACTTTTATTCGTGGGAAACGCGGGCTGTGAATCGAACAAGCTGGCGAGGCAGACTCACTGTTGGAGCACAATCCTCAGAGATTGAACACATCGCATACGCCAAAAGAAAGCGCACTGCAAAGAAAAGCAGAATCGGCTCCAATCCAACTATGACCCAAAAACACGAGTCTTACGTGCGGGAAGGCTTTCCAGGCTCAACTACTTGCGTACTCACCGTTAAGTATAGCACTGGTTATTTCTTATCTTCCTACCCCCACCCCCAATTCCCCCCCCCCCACCCACAGAAAATTATAAACAATACACTACTGATTTATTTCGTAGTTTAACATTTTGCTAACTCATTCTTTCAGGTTTATTCAAATTTCTTCTGCTTTTTTCGTGCCTATAAATAGCCATGTGTGCAAATCCTTGCCAATAAATTGTTTGGTGTAAAACTTTTGGAAAAACGTTTATTCCCCTTTTATATAAGACTTATACAATGCCACCCTCACCCCTTAAAATTGTCATTCATTTCCTGTGGTTTAGCTGGGGAAGGGGGGTGTCAAGCTCATTGATAATACTTTCCATTTGCCTTTTCTGTGGGGGGGGGTGTATTTTTCACTCCTTGAATGAATTACTGACTTGAGCTTGTCATGAACGGATGAACAATTAAAAGTCAGACGTCACCCGGCGGGCCGCTATACCAGTTCAAATATTTAACGAAGTGCGTGGGCGCCAAGGACAAACGTGAAGAAGGGCGAGCACCTAAACCGGAAGTGAGATGGTGAACTGGATTTCAATGGGGACTTTACGGCACAGAAGTTGATTGGTGATCACTGGGACTTTTTTTTAATAAAGCGCTGACAAGATGTCGTAGTTGAGATGGGTGGTTATTCCCTTAACACTGAGCGCAAATCAATAAAGCTCGTGCATAACAATAGCCCCACGGGCAAACGACCGACCCATTTTTGCGGGCGGGGGGGGGGGGGGGGGGGGGGGTTTTTTTTTGGCGATACTATTTTTTGCATTTTGTCTTCCCGTTTTTTTTTGAAGTTGCAGTCTATATCATTACAAATAACCTCAAGTCTTATCAAATCTGTTTTTTTTTCTTAAATCATTTATGTTAATTTCGACTCTTTTAGTGGCTAGCTGGGTGAGCAAATCTTCGGTTGGCTAATTGACCCACTTCCCGTCAGTTTATCGAGCTAAAACTCGCTGCCGATTACAATACATTCAATGAAACTTTCAGCCCCATCCCTCAATCCCAAAACCCACAAATCAGTCTTTCCTGCGTTTTAAAGGGGAACACGCAGTAAAATTACAGATAACTGCGCTACATCAGATTCTTTAAAATATATATATATTACATATCGCAGGTGCATTTGGTGCGTAATATTTTCTTTGCTTTTCCGAAATAGTTTTTGCAATAAATATGAGGTATGAAATTGGGTGTGTCATTAGAATAGTAATATAGTTCAGAGGCGTGAACGCAATGAGTGATTTGGAAGGTTGAAAGGGGGGGGGGGGGGGGGCCACTTATTGGGGTTCTTTTAAAGTACATTATTTTCATGCATGTTTGTCAAATTCTCAGCCCCACCCCTCATTGCTCGATATTACATTTTATAAAGCCTTTATATCCCCAAAAAATTGTATTTAGGAATTGTGTAATGTATTCACATCGAAATGATCTCCGACTCGATATGTTCTATGGTGACTTTTTTTTTGTTCAATTCTCCACAGCTACCATTACATCAACATCATCTGGTTTTCGTCCAATTGGCTGGCCATGAGCAACTCTTGCTACAACCCTTTCATCTACGGCCTCTTGAATGTGAGTATCTATCTTCTTTTTGTTATGTCCTCTACGTCCAGACCGGCTCCACTTGCCTGAATGGTGTCCAAAAGTGAGCAAAAGTGATGGAAAAATTGATGTGACTTCAGTACCTTGTCACACTCAAGGACTCGGCTAAATTGGCGTTGTAAATGTTATAGGGTAAATATTCATTAGAGTGACGAGCAACTCATTTTATATTTTCGTTTCATATTTTCAACAATGTTGAATATAAAAATCTGGAGCAAATAAATACCTTCGTCTCCCTTTCTACAGACGGCGTCCTTGTGTTTTGAGAAGCGATGTGGGGATAGTTTTTTTTTTTTTTTTAATGAAATCTTTACGCTCGTTTTGGTTTAAGATTTTAAGAAAGGTTGTCCATGGCCGTGCTAGGAAGTACAAGGTTATGACGTCATCTGGACTTTCTCTTCCTTGTGTTTTGAGAAGCGATGTGGGGATAGTTTTTTTTTTTTTTTTAATGAAGTCTTTACGCTCGTTTTGGTTTAAGATTTTAAGTAAGGTTGTCCATGGCCGTGCTAGGAAGTTCAAGGTTATGACGTCATCTGGACTTTCTCTCGCCTATTTAAGAGCGCTGCATTTATATGTCCCTGAAATGATATCACCGCTGCTGGATTTGATTCGGAACAGTTGGCCTAACAAATCTCCCTGGCAACGAGGATGTGATGCGACCCAATCCGCTTTCCTGGCTGGAGGGTGGGGGAGGGGGTGAAAAAAAAAGGGGGGGGGCTGACAGTTATTCAAATGTATGCGTCTTATGAGAAATGAAATATGATGTGCGAAACAAATTTTATATAACTTGCGAAGAAGCCGAATTGGAATATTTCTGGGTAAAAGGCGGGGGGGGGGGCACAGAAATGAAAGTTGTGACCTTTCTACATTGAACTAGAATAGATGAAAGGAGAAACAAAAAACTTTTCACCAAAACAAAAACAAAGGCGTCTTCATCCGAGTTACTTGGTTACCTTAAGCGGTTACTTTAAGCGGTAACTACTATGCATAACTGCAAGATGAGTATAGACTCCGACCCAGTCTTGTGGAGCCGCTTACCACGGCGTGTGATGGATACTTCTTGAGTTGTCTACTGTGCTCTGTTCTTTGTTATATTTTCATTTCTCCTGTTTGGCTGAGGAAGGCTTTATGCCGAAACGTTCTTGGTATTTTTTTATTTTTTTTGTCCTCTTATCTAATCAAGCTTCCACGTACCTCGTTTTGCTATTTCATTCATTTACTAAGCTTGAAAGCAGTCCTTTTCATTTATATTTTGATGATATCAACCAGGTCTTTTCGTATTGGACAACAATAATTACGCCCACGCCATCGTCACATTGGGACGGACGGATGCCAGCCAAAAAAACAATTGAGGGGGTGGTGTGTGGTGGAGAATAATTTCCATCCACCAAGGTCCTGGTGGAAACTGTGGAGTGAAGCTACACGATTTTGATTGGAATCATTATTTCAAGGTGGTCATCGGAACAGCGCCAAACTCCTCAGAAATACAGTCTTTCTTTTAGGGCCCCCCCCGAGAAAACATCTCTATTTCATCTGGTTTCCAATAAACAAAAGGGAACCTGGAGTTTGAAGGATAAACATTAATTCCATGTTTTTTTTTTTTTTTTAAATTGGATTCGATAAGACAAGCGGATATTTTAATCGAATTTAACTCAAACAAAAATTTGAGCTTGCTTTAAATGTTAGCGTTTTGTTTCCTTGTTATTTTAGTTTAACAGGATTTCACAACAAGCCTATGCTTATAGAATAAAATCAAATCATAAAACTCCCTTTTATTTGATATTATTGTTAGAAAGGGAAGAATAACCCCATGAGAAAATTATTAATAAAGATCACATGTTATTTAAAATTTTATAAGATAAGATTACCTCAAATTTCTGGGGGGGTTTTTCCTTTAGAATTTTTTATTTAGTTATGATTGTATCAAAAAATGATGCAGTCGTCTGATATGATTGATAAAATCATATAATATGAACGATACACTTTTCCAATATGATTGAAAAAGCCATATAATAATTAATGGTACAATCATCTAGAATGAATGATACAATCATCTAAAATGAATGATACAATCATCTAAATTGAATGACTAGTGAAAATCTAGTATCGATGAATTATCTTCCGATTACTGGTGGGCTGACCTTCCTCTTCCTAATGGCTTGTATTCCAGAAAAGATCACATTTGGATTGGATAGTGCCTGGCTCTTTTACACCTGAGAACATGGATGAAATGGAATTGAAAGGGCAATATGATCTTCTGAATTCAATGAATCCCCCTGGCTGTGAGTTGACCACTCCCCCCTCCCCCTTTTTTTCTGGCTGAGAATTCTCTTATCCTGGCTTTGAGCTGGCTGTGAGTTGACTCCCCCCTGACTGTGAGTAGACTCCCCATGGCTGTGAGTTGACTCCTCGTGACTGTGAGTTGACTTCCCTATGGCTGTGAGTTGACTCCCCCTGACTGTGATTTGACTCCACCTGCCTGTGAGTTGACTCCACCTGACTTTGAGTTGACTCCCCGTGACTGTGAGTTGACTCCCCAAACCCTGGCATGAGGTGGCAATAGTTTCAAAACCTAAACATTGTTTGCATTTGTTTGTTTTTTTTGTTGTTTTTTTTTAATCGCCAGTTTGACATTTGTTTGTATGTTTGCAAACTCATCTGGAACTCAGTTTGAGATTGGAGACAGACTCATAATTTTGAATCGGACTTTGATCTATGGGAGTCTATGTTTAAAATGATATAATCTGGGGGGGGGGGGGGGGGGGGAAATAAGGGGCGGGGGGGGGGCAGAGACAGAGCTCAAAGAAAGGGAAATAAGTAGGGTATATCATTATCTTAATTTTTACCTTAACACATGTATCAACTTAGTAATGACACATAGCCGTGTTAAACCTGTACTCAGTTCTGAAATAACGTTGAATAACAGTTGGCGAAGGTCTAGATCAGAGACTTTCAAATTTTTTTTCGCCCCCTCTCCCCCTCGGATACATTAAGACACCCCCCCCTTTTCCCCCGTCTTCCTAGTTATATTCATTAAGTAGATTATTATTTTTGCAAGTAGCTAATATCGCACAAAAATGTGAAATATTACCATAGTATATTTGAGTGTTAAAATACAACTAAATCATTTTACGCTAATGAAATNGTGGGGGAAAAAAGTTTTAACAATCTGAAAAATTTTCTTTTACTTTCTCTTCCCTCCCCCCCCCCCCCCCACCAAAATCCCTCCAGGAAAAGTTCAAACGTGAGTTTCACCAGCTGTTCGTCATGTGTCCGTGCTGGAAGGCGCGCGTCGACTACTACACGGAGTACTTCTCCGAGGACGCCAACATCTGCCGGCGCGCCAACACCAACGGTCACTGCCCGGCCAACAGGTATGATCTTGTCTCGGTACGTGTGACCAAGCTAGTGATTGTTGTCGCCAGGGTGACCAAAATGGTTTTTATTAAGGCCAGGGTGACCAATAAGTTTTTATTAAGACTAGGGTGACCAATAAGTTTTTATTAAGAACAGGGTGACCAAAAGGGTTTTTATTAAGACCAGGGTGACCAATAAGTTTTTATTAAGACCAGGGTGACCAATAAGTTTTTATTAAGACCAGGGTGACCAATAAGTTTTAATTAAAACCAGGGTGACCAATAAGTTTTTATTAAGGCCAGGGTGACCAATAAGGTTTTGATTAAGGCCAGGGTGACCAAAAGGGTTTTTATTAAGGCCAGGCTGACCAAAAGGGTTTCGATTAAGGCCAGGGCGACCAATATGGTTTTAATAAGGCCAGGGCGACCAATACGATTTTTATATAAGGCCAGGGTGACCAATAAGTTTTATTAAGACCAGGGTGACCAATAAGTTTTTATTAAGGCCAGGGTGACCAAAAGGTTTTTATTGAGACCAGGGTGACCAATAAGTTTTATTAAGACCAGGGTGACCAATAAGTTTTTATTAAGGCCAGGGTGACCAAATACGTTTTTATTAAGGCCAGGGTGACCAAAAGGGTTTTTATTAAGACCAGGGTGACCAATTACTTTTTATTAAGACCAGGGTGACCAATAATTTTTTATTAAGACCATGTTGACCAATAAGTTTTTATTAAGGCCAGGGTGACCAATAAGTTTTAATTAAAACCAGGGTGACCAATAAGTTTTTATTAAGGCCAGGGTGACCAATAAGGTTTTGATTAAGGCCAGGGTGACCAAAAGGGTTTTTATTAAGGCCAGGCTGACCAAAAGGGTTTCGATTAAGGCCAGGGCGACCAATATGGTTTTAATAAGGCCAGGGCGACCAATACGATTTTTATATAAGGCCAGGGTGACCAATAAGTTTTATTAAGACCAGGGTGACCAATAAGTTTTTATTAAGGCCAGGGTGACCAAAAGGTTTTTATTGAGACCAGGGTGACCAATAAGTTTTATTAAGACCAGGGTGACCAATAAGTTTTTATTAAGGCCAGGGTGACCAAATACGTTTTTATTAAGGCCAGGGTGACCAAAAGGGTTTTTATTAAGACCAGGGTGACCAATTACTTTTTATTAAGACCAGGGTGACCAATAATTTTTTATTAAGACCATGTTGACCAATAAGTTTTTATTAAGGCCAGGGTGACCAATAAGTTTTAATTAAAACCAGGGTGACCAATAAGTTTTTATTAAGGCCAGGGTGACCAATAAGGTTTTGATTAAGGCCAAGGTGACCAAAAGGGTTTTTATTAAGGCCAGGCTGACCAAAAGGGTTTCGATTAAGGCCAGGGCGACCAATAGGGTTTTAATAAGGCCAGGGCGATCAATACGATTTTTATTAAGGCCAGGGTGACCAATAGTGTTTTGATAAAGATGCGATAACTCAGTGAGTGATTTGATGCAGCGTTATTGTAGTTTTTGTCCGGGTTCCACTTTGGACAAGCTTTTGTAAGCCCTGCTCCAGTCAGGACACGGGGGAAGGGGTGGTTGTAAGGGTTGCGAAGTGTTTCAAGAAACATGTTTATTACTGTCACTACCCCATCTTATTAACTGGTTAAGAGAAATGCTTGTAACGGGTAACATAGCTTTAAAAAAATGGAGCAACACAGCTGCTGGTAGAATAGTGGGACAGGGGCAACATAGCTGCCGGTAGAATAGTGGGACAACATAGCTGCCAGTAGAATAGTGGGACAGGGGCAACAAAAGTGGTAGATGAATAGGCATCATAGCTGGTGGTAGAATAGTGGGACAGGGGCAACATAGCTGTTGGTAGAATAGTGGGACAGAGGCAACATAGCTGCTGGTAGAATAGTGGGACAGGGGCAACATAGCTGCTGGTAGAATAGTGGGACAGAGGCCACATAGCTGCTGGTAGAATAGTGGGTCAGGGGCAACATAGCTGCTGGTAGAATAGTAGAGCAACATAGCTGCTGGTAGAATAGTGGGACAGGGGCAACATAGCTGCTGGTAGAATAGTAGAGCTACATAGCTACTGGTAGAATAGTGGGACAGGGGCAACAAAAGTGGTAGAATAGATAGGCAACATAGGTGGTTGAATAGTTGGGCTACGTAGCTGGTAGAATAGTGGGGCTACGTAGCTGGTAGAATAGTGGGGCTACGTAGCTGGTACATTAGTGGGGCTACGTAGCTGTAGAATAGTGGGGCTACGTAGCTGGTAGAATAGTGGGGCTACGTAGCTGGTAGAATAGTGGGGCTACGTAGCTGGTAGAATAGTGGAGCTACGTAGCTGGTAGAATAGTGGGGCTACGTAGCTGGCAGAATAGTGGGGCTACGTAGCTGGTAGAATAGTGGGGCTACGTAGCTGGTAGAATAGTGGGGCTACGTAGCTCGTAGAATAGTGGGGCTACCTAGCTGATAGAATAGTGGGGCTACGTAGCTGGTAGAATAGTGAGGCTACGTAGCTGGTAGAATAGTGGGGCTACGTAGCTCGAAGAATAGTGGGGCTACGTAGCTGGTAGAATAGTGGAGCTACGTAGCTGGTAGAATAGATGGGTAACATAGTTAGTGAAAGAGTGGGAAAACATTGCTGGTGGAATATTGGGGCAACATAGCTGCTGGTAGAATAGTGGGACAGGGGCAACAAAATGGGTAGAATAGATAGGCAACATAGCTGCTAGAATAGATAGGCAACATAGCTGCTAGAATAGTGGGGCTACGTAGCTCGTAGAAAAGATGGGCAACATAGCTAGTAAAAGAGTGGTACAACATACCAGGTAGAATAGTGGGGCAACATAGCTGGTAAAAGAGTTGGAAAACATTGCTGGTAAAAGATTGGGGCAACATAGCTGGTAAAAGATTGGGACAACATAGCTGGTAAAAGATTGGGACAACATAGCTGGTAAAAGATTGGGACAACATAGCTGGTAAAAGAGTAGGGCAACATAGCTGGTAAAAGAGTGGGGCAACGTAGCTGGTAAAAAAGTGGGGCAACATAGCTGGTAAAAGAGTGGGGCAACATAGCTGGTAAAAGAGTGGGGCAACGTAGCTGGTAAAAGAGTGGGGCAACGTAGCTGGTAAAAAAGTGGGGCAACATAGCTGGTAAAAGAGTGGGGCAACATAGCTGGTAAAAGAGTGGGGCAACGTAGCTGGTAAAAAAGTGGGGCAACATAGCTGGTAAAAGAGTGGGGCAACATAGCTGGTAAAAGAGTGGGGCAACATAGCTGGTAAAAGAGTGGGGCAACGTAGCTGGTAAAAAAGTGGGGCAACGTAGCTGGTAAAAGAGTGGGACAACATAGCTGGTAAAAGAGTGGGGCAACATAGCTGGTAAAAGAGTGGGGCAACATAGCTGGTAAAAGAGTGGGGCAACATAGCTGGTAAAAGAGTGGGGCAACGTAGCTGGTAAAAGAGTGGGGCAACATAGCTGGTAAAAGAGTGGGGCAACGTAGCTGGTAAAAAAGTGGGGCAACGTAGCTGGTTAAAGAGTGGGAAAACATAGCTGGTAAAAGAGAGGGGCAACATAGCTGGTAAAAGAGTGGGGCAACGTAGCTGGTAAAAAAGTGGGGCAACGTAGCTGGTAAAAGAGTGGGGCAACATAGCTGGTAAAAGAGTGGGGCAACGTAGCTGGTAAAAGAGTGGGGCAACGTAGCTGGTAAAAGAGTGGGGCAACGTAGCTGGTTAAAGAGTGGGGCAACTTAGCTGGTAAAAGAGTGGGGCAACATAGCTGGTAAAAGAGTGGGGCAACATAGCTGGTAAAAGAGTGGGGCAACGTAGCTTGTAAAAAAGTGGGGCAACGTAGCTGGTAAAAGAGTGGGACAACATAGCTGGTAAAAGAGTGGGGCAACATAGCTGGTAAAAGAGTGGGGCAACGTAGCTGGTAAAAAAGTGGGGCAACGTAGCTGGTAAAAGAGTGGGAAAACATAGCTGGTAAAAGAGAGGGGCAACATAGCTGGTAAAAGAGTGGGGAAACAAAGTTGGTTGAACAGTGGGATACCATAGCTGGTCGGACATATAGTTATACTGGTTCTTAAGTGAATCAGTAAATGTATACAATTAACAAAGGTCGATGTCATTATATTACATTGTAAGAGATGCTAATCACTTTTCCTGCGCTACCCTTTATATATATAGATATATTGTAATAAATGTAAATATTTATTTTTCATTTTTCTTATTTTTGTGTGTGCTCCTCATTTGGCCTAGATTCGGGCCTAAATGGAAGCTCACAAATTTCTCCTACTTCGCGTACCTGTCTGATACCCACCTCGTAACGCACTTGATCTCTCCCTCAGGCACGGGGCGGTCAGGTACAACTTCTACCGAGACGACAAGAAAGTCTATGCTAAGCAGGTCCAGGTGCAAGCGGACGAGACGGAGACGTCAAACATATGACGAAAGAAGAGAGACGTCATCCTGAAAATGACGTCCTACGTTTGAGAGGGCGCGACGCGCGTGCACCGGGGGGCATCCGTCACGGCGCATGCGTCACGTTTGTTACACGATAACTGTACCTGTATCCATGATTACTGTACCTTTATACATGATTACTGTACCTGTATCCATGATTACTGTACCTTTATACATGATTACTGTACCTGTATACATGATTACTGTACCTGTATAAACACAATATTTAGGTTTTTTTTTTTTTTTTTTTTAAAAACATGTTTTGTTGAATGTTAGCTGAAAGCAGGGCCGGCTCTAGGGGCAAAAAAAAACAACAATTTGTGGGGCCTTTGATGTTATATACCCCGAACGATATGAAATTAAGACGCGTCGTTGTCATGCAAGGTCTTGATGGTCGTAATGGAACCGTTTTTAGCCATACTTGGTCTTGATGGTCATAACGGGACTGTGTATAGTCACTCTGGGACTTGATGGTCATAATGGGACACGTCATACTGAGTAAATGTTCCCTTGTTTAATTTCCGAAATGCAATTTAAAATTTATTTTTATTTTTTTTTTACTTTTGAATTCCCCTGAGCCGATTTACTGATCGCTTATCTGTGGTTGCGAACCTCATGGCCGTCAAAAACAAATTCACAAAAACCGAAAGGCTGAATGAGCTGAACGCTCTTACGGAGAGACTGCATAATGTGAGATGGTAATCAAGCAGAAATGACAACAAGGAAAGAAAATGAGATCTTCATCATCATGGGTGGGGACGATATCTCTTTCAGTTGACAGTGTTGACAATCAATTTACTCGATCCTGAGAAATTGGTGATCATTAATAAGCATTTGTTAACTTTAAATTTGCACATGCCAAAAAAAAAACAAAAAAAAATATCTTTATGCATTAGTTACGGTAATCAACATAGTCAACATTATTTAGTACGCTGAGGGTAATAAAATCAGGTGATTGAACTTTGACTTAGAGAGACAGTACGGGGAAAGGTGAGTCTGATTATTTGATTATCGTGTGTCTTCGAAACATTTTGTTTAAATCATTTAGTATGTATATGTACGGCCTGGTTTTATTTATAAATATATAATATTACAAGGGCTATACGAGACTCCGCAAGCATAGGGCCTTGGGCGGTCGCCCCGTTCGCAGCCCCCCTAGCGCCGGCCCTGTTATGACATCTACTGAAAAGCTAACCATGCATACCCAAAAAAAAAAATAAACAACAACAACAACAAAATGACACACAAAAATACTGTAAAGGAAAACTCGAGATGGCTGAATGACTTGATTCGACGGGTATGATCAATGAATGAAAATTATTAGTTTGATTGATTTGTTCCGACGGGCTGCTGTTTTTTTTTAAACTTTGGGTTTCGTTTACACGTACAGACGCCAGCAATTACACAAATTTGCATGTTGTTAACTTTGTGAATTACCGTGTTTAGTTTTTTATTGATATCTTCATGATAGAATATGACAGTGGCACAAGTTTGGCCGTGTTCAGTTAAATTAATGATTGCTTAAGTAATAGCTTCATTCCGTTGATAAATGCTCAGTTCACACGTTCAGATTTTCTTCAAATTTCGTTTTTGGACGCACTAATTTGGTTTACCTGGTGGTGCTTTTAAAAATGAAATTTGTCGCAAAGTTGACGAAAATTCGATCGTGTGAGCCTAGCATAAGAAAACAATTTAGGGCGTATTTAGCCAATGACTAAGAGAGCAGACCTGGATCACTTTAGTGGTAAGGTAGCCATGTATAGTCTATGCCAGTGGTATGTAATCACAGTGGTTGCACACAGCCAACGGCGCCTGATTTAGAGCTTTCAAAGTATGGTAGATATAATTTAGACTAGTGAAGCCGTGCAAAGTACCAAACTAAAACGTTTCAGGACAATTCAGTGACCTAGAGCCATTTTAATATCATTTTACCCAACAAATAAAATTAAGCATATATATTAAATTTTTAGATTTTTTTCACAAATTATCTCTGACTTTTTTAAAGATAGACCTATATGCTTAGGTCCTCTAATTTTGAATGCTTTTGTCACTAAACTTTTCATGCAACCTGGTAGACGCCCCCCCCCCCCAGTTTTGTGTGTAAACACATCCTCATGAGCCTCTGGTATCTGTTTATCAACCAAGCACTTTTTTAGATTTTTTTAACAAATTATTTCTGACTTTTTTAAAGAAAGACCTATATGCTTAGGTCCTCTAATTTTGAATGCTTTTTTCACTAAACTTTTCAGGCAACCGGGTAGACGCCCCCCCCCCCCAGTTTTGTGTGTAAACACATCCTCATGAGCCTCTGGTATCTGTTTATCAACCAAGCACCCAGAAAGACAAAACAAATGTCACGGACGTACGGGCTGAAGCTTTTTCAGACATATCCTAACAAATGTTCCATTTATATCCACACATTTCTTAGTCCCAGAAGCTCAAAGGGCATTGGCTGTTACTGACGTGGCGACTGTCGATTTTTTTATTATTATTTTTTTACTATCGTCTGTGACTGGCCGACCCAAAATATTCAGACATGGGTTCCCTATCTAGCGTCTTTTTTTTTTTGTCCTTTATAGATTTGTGTTACGTCCTTATTTTGAGCATAGCTTTCTGTGAGGAAGAGGGAGGACGTTGGAAAGGAGAGGGAGGACGTTGTGAGGAAGGGGGAGGACGTTCTGAGGGAGAGGGAGGACGTTGGCGGGAAGGGGGGCGTGTTCTGGGGAAGGAGGGGGGCGGGTTGTGGGGAAGGAGGGGGCG